ACAAGATGAGCTCCTAAACCATTACCAACATAAATTCATTAAATCCTTGTAAACCCCCTGTGGGGGAGGAGGTACTAGCACCCCTATTTTTCAGATAAGGAAATTGAGGCACAGAGAGGTATGGTGACTTGCCCAAGGTCACACAGTCAGTGTGTGAGCCGTTGCCTTCTTTGTTATGTATTAATTTACTTATCTGTTGGGTACCATCAGGCTCCCTCCCAGGGGCAGGACACATCTATTCTGTCCTCCTGTGTGTCCCTGGGCTCATCTGCGGGTAACACCCGCACATGAACACAGTAGGTGTTCAGTAAATATTTCCCAGAAGGAGGGAGGAAAGGAGACAGGAGGGTCAGAGGACTGGAAGGAGGAGTCTTTGGCCCCAGGAGCTTAGCCCAGGGTCGGAAGGCTCTCAGCCTCCAGGAGGGGTTGAGTCAGCCCTGCTGGGAGACCCCACCCCGACGCCCCATGGAACCTCTGTTTTCGGATCGCACTCAGCTGGGTCCATGCTGAACTCACTTCCTGTCCTACAGCAGCCAGGAGTCTCAGGAACAAAATGTCCCAGAGGGACAGCCAGCGAGGGGCCCAGGTGGGGCAGAAGGTGCCCAAGGAGAGGCCAGGAAGGGGACCTGCCGAGCTGGGGAGCATGTGAGGTCCACCCTATGGCAGGACCCCTCTCCCTCATGATACTGACACGGTGGTGATGATCACGGGGGTGGGGGGGTCAGCAGCCGGGTCCCACTACCCTTCACAGCACCTTCAGATGGGTGCTAGAGCTGAGAGGTGGAGCAACTTGTACAAGGCCCCTCAGCCGGCAAGTGCAGGAGGTGGAATTCAAGCCTAGCTCCCAGAGGCTCGGAACAGATTTCAGGGAAAACCAGGGGAGGAGAACCCCGAAGCCCAGCCCAGGCTCCTCTTCCATCTGCTCACTGGATCACTGGGTGCTTAGGGGAAGATCTCTAAGTTTGAATCTTAGTCTTCTCGACTGGGAACTGAGGATGAAGGACCCCAGGATCATCTGAGAGCCTGCAAAGGGCTGGCTGTCTGTCCGTGTCCACCAGTTATGCTGTTCTCCTGCACAGCAGAGTCGGCTGATCCACAGGTTCCAGAAGTAGAGACACAGCTAGGCCACCTCTTGCTTAAACTTCAGTGCTCTGCATACCCCACTGAAAGGCTTTGATAAAGCGTGAAAGACGCTTTGCCGAGATTCTGCAGAGGCTGTGGGGTCTCTGGGGAGGAGGACTGAGCCCAGCCTCCCCCTCAGGCCCCGCTGTGGGACAGGGACACTGTGGCTTGCACAGAATATGACTTTCTGAGTTTTACTGAGCACGTACTGTGCACCAGGTACCATATCCGCACTGCTGTTTGCTGTCACATTCATGGTCCCCTCCAGAGCAGGGTGTTAACACAAACCCCATGTTCCAGACAAGGCCCAGAGAAGAGGTGGTTGGCCCACGGTCACAGGACCAGGTAGGCCTTTGAACCTGGTCTGCTTAGCACCAAGCGGGGCTTTGAGTTACTGTGAGGCTTGGAAAACCTTGTCGCAGTCAGGAAGGACCTGGGTTTGCTCTTGGGGTGGCAGGGGGAAGACTGTAAATTGAAACCCAGACTCAGAGATCTTAGAGCTGTATGGGGTCCTCAGAGATCCCTTCGTCAGGATCCCTGGCCCCGAATTCCCTGCAATAAGGTTTATTATTGCTGTTTTATTATTTATTCAACCACAGCTCAGAGAGGCAAAGTAACTTTCCTAGAACCACATAGCATGGAACCGAGTCAGGATGCTTTTTATTATTAGCTCAGCTCAGTGGTTCTGCCACCTGCTCGCAAGCACAAGGTCCCAAGTTCAATTCCCAGTACCAAAAAAAAGAAAAACAAAGAAATGAATGGAGGCCGTGGGTTGGTGTGGGGTAGGAGATCTAAGGACATTTGCTAAGTGGGGTCTGTGAAGTGTAAAAGAAACAGCATTCAATGCTTAATTTGGGTCCTTTACTACCTACATGACCTTGGGAAAGCTCTCAATCTAGCTGGGCCTGAGCTTCTCAGTTCTGAAATGGCTTGAAGAAGTCACCGTTCCGCAGGGTTTGCCGCAGGTTAGGCTCCCAAAGTGCCCCTCAGTGTCCTGACACACATAGTAGGTGCTCAGTAAAATGAAGTCAGTGCACTGATTGCTATTCCTATTAAACCCCAGGGTTCGAAGCTCCCTTCCAGGATGACCTGCTGGGTCTCTCACACCTGACCAGCCTCTGACATGACGTTCGGGTCCTGGGGATGTGCTCTCTTTCACTTGACAGAGAGATGGAGGAGGGAGCAAAGCCTGGGGGTTAAAAGAAAGGATCAAGAGACAGATAAGCCTGGGTCACTGCTCCCTGGTTCTACTTTCCCACAGGCGGGTGGGCACTGCTGGGGGGGTCTTCATCTGCCCCCTGCTAGGGACCTCAACGTGCCAGAGCAGAGTGGGGCCTCCGGCGCTGGCCCTTGGTGCTGAAGATGGACTGTGCCGGCCCAGAGGATGGGGGGCGGGGGCTGGGCAGCAACTTCTCAAGGTCACTCGGGGTCCCTCAGCTTCCACCCTCCACACCCGTGGAGCACAGCCGGGTGCGCGCCCCCAGCTGGCTCCTGGTTTGGGAACAAACTGATCCCTCGGCAGCTTCTCCGACCACATCCTGAGCAGCCTACGTGCGCGTGCCCACGCCCGACTCCTTCCAGATGTGCTGTGTACACAGCTCGGGATTAACTGCTCGAGTGGGCTGCGGGCTGTCTTCGGAGGATTAAGTGTACGGGGTGCTGGGCCAGTGGGAGCTAAACTGGTGCAGACACTGATTTACAGGCCACGCCAGGGCCAGCCTGTGTTATAAGAAGAGGACACTGGACCCGTTGCTGGAGGCTGAGGTGGCTTTTCTGACCTGGAAGCAGAGACATCCACCCACACACTCTTACTGGGGGTTTTGTGGTTAGGAATGGTCCCAAAGGGCAGCTGGGTCTCCCACTTGGGAATAGGGCTGGGTTTTTGAGGAAGTGTCCACAATCCATCTGGGCCCGTGGGCCCTGCTGCCATCTTGTCTCAAACGAAGGCAGGATGGAGGCTTCAGTGAGGAGTTGGTTTGGATCCTAGGACAAGAAAGAGGCACTAAGGAATTTTAAGTGGTGGCGACGTTGTATGGTTTGCAGTTTGGAAAGATCTACCCTGTGTTTCAGGTTACGGTTACTCTAACCAATATCTAAGACTTATCGGCTTAAGAAGAGGAAAGGTTTATTTTGGCTCAAGGCTTGGGAGGTTTCAGTCCCTGGCTAATTGCTCTGAGCCTTTGGTGAGACAGCACATCATGGCGGAGTGAGTGCTGTGAGAAGCCGTTCATCCCATGGTAGCCAGGAAGCAAAAGGAGAGAGGAAGAGGTTGAAGCCCCCACAGGGGTCCCTCCAGGGGCCCAGCTGCCTTCCACTACGCCCACTTCCAAAGGCTCCGCCACCTACCAGCGGCACCATGGGCTTTTGGAAGACACTTATCCAAGACATAGCCAAGAGTCTGGTTCGGGGCCTGCAGTAGCCACTTGGCTGAGCAGACCATGGACAGATCTGTGAGCTACACAGGAGACAAGGAGGGTAGATGTGGGGTAAAAGAAGAGAGGTGTGGAGTCTGCCTCCTGGCAGGAACGGATAAGCAATCCCTCAAGGAGGGCTCAGCTCAGAAGGGGACAGGAGAAGGCATGCGTGTGCCCCAGGTATGGCCATGGAAGGGGCGCTTGCCACCCCCGGGCTGAGGGGCTGAAGAGAGAGTGGTGGGGCCCAGCGGGGTCAGGCGTGAGACCTTTCATGCCTTTCTGGTTCAAGGTGGAGGTCAGAAGGCAAGGAGCCCGAGGGCAGGGAGTCTGGAGACCAGATCCCTGGGAGGAAGGAAGTGCTCAGGGCTCCTGGCCTTCGCCCATCCTCCCTGGGTCCCAAGCTCAAGCACAGTGCTTCCAAGCCCAGGAGAAAGCCTGGCAGCCCTGCCTCTGCTCCCGTGGTGACTCAGCAGGAGCCCCACGTGGGTGTGGGACCAGGGAGGAAGCAAGTCCCCTCCCCTCCCAGCACTCAGCTAATTCTGTCTGGGGCGGCAGCCAGGCCCCCGTGGTGGCTGGAGGTCTGCTGTGACTTTCCTGCTTCCTGGCTCGCCTGGAGCCTTGTGGGAGCCTGGAGGCCCCTTCTTTCTGCCCCGAAGGGTGGGAAACCAGGTGAAAACCACAGGACTTGGGCAGCAGACAAAGACATCCTGACCTACGATTGTCCAGGTTGGAGGCAGCCAGGATGCTCAGACAAAAGACACAGTCAAGCCCCAGACTGGTGTCTGACACTATTTTAGCTCCTGGCTGAAGCTGTAATCTTGGGCTTTGGGGTCAGAGAGTTTGTGGTTCACACTGTGAGCTGATCCTTAAAGGCTGGATGAGCCTGGGCTACTCATTGCACCTCCTGAGTCCCATCTCCTGATATTTGCCTCAAAAATACAGACCTAGATGAGACATAAGGTGTGTGGGCTGCCTGCCACAGTTCTAGGCTCCAGGGTACACCGTGTACATGACAGATCCTCCCCAGGTCTCAGTTTCTCCAGGTACAGAACCAGATACCCACTGAGGGGCCTCCCAGCTCCTAAAAGCCTTTTGGAGGCAGAGAGAACAAGAGGGGAGGTGTCCAGGCCTCCCAGCCAGACTGTCAGGGTGGGCCATGGCGGTAGGAGACGGGGACAGGAGCCGGGCCAACAAGGCCATTCGAAGCTTGAAGGAAGAGTTTCCAGTCTCCCAATCCGCTCCCAAACCCACGGGTTCTGATAAGGCTCTTGAGACTGGCTGGGGGCCTGCAGCTGGGTAGATTAGTTGCAGAGTACAGAGGCAGAGACGTGGGTCAGAGCAGAGCGGGTCAGAGCAGAGCGGCCTCGGGCAGCTTGCTGTGTCCAGGCACAAGGGAGAGCGATGTCACAGCAGAGTGGTGTCATAGGCAGGTGAGGGGCAGGGAGCCCCTGTGTGTGTGGGGGGGGTGTCTGGGATGGAGGCAGAGGGACCTTGAGAACATCCAGCCGGACCAGCCAGAGCAGGACTGGAGGAAAGAGGAGCCGGCGGTGGGGAGGGGAGACAGAAAGAGCCCGTCCCTTTTCACTCAAGGTCATTTGGCCACGGGGCACAAGCAGTGACAGAGCGAGCACACGGGCGAACACCCTCTGAGCCACTGGGGACACTGGCCGGGCAGGAGCAGCCTGAGAAGGGAGGCCCTGGGGTCCTAGGAATGCAGGTCAAGTCCCTGTGCTGCCTGCCGCTCGCCGGGTGGGGGCGTGGGCGACCTCAGCAACCACCAGCCCCGGCTGTTGATTCCCTGGGCGTCCCTGGGCATGGTGGGGCCCACGGAAATGGCCTTGCAGGGATGAGGGAAGCAGAGGGAAAAGGGAGTGTCCTCACCCGCAGCCGGCAGTGCCAGCGTCAGTCCAGGCAGGTGAGGGAGCAGAGGCTCCCGAGGCCCTGCAGCGTGGGGAGGAGTGAGCCCCTCAGGAGGGCTTTCCTCTCAGAAGCATCTCCGCGTTTCCCCATCTCCCCATCTCTATTACCTGCAGCAGAGGGGCTTGGTGAAAAAAATCACAGGAAGCCTGGAGCCTCTTCTCGCCCCTCCACAAAACTCGTACCCCGAACCCTGCTGGACTGATCTTGTCGGGGTTCTTGGAGGTTCATGGCGGAGGAGGTGAGCAAGGAGACTCAGTTTGGCAGTTCAGCAGCTCCGAGTTTGAAGTCTGGTGCCTGCCCATCTCCGGGCCTCCTCCTCTGTCCAGAATGTCGAGTCTGACCTCCCGTGTTTGCCTGACCTGTGTGTGTGACCTTGGGCACATTACTTTCTCTGTGCCTCAGTTTCTTCTTCTGTGACCCTGCTGGAACAGTGGCTGGAACTCAATGAGAGACACATATGTGTTTGTTTAGGATTTAAACCAGCAACATCCGCCTGAGGTTTCTGTTCCCTGTCATGGAAGGAAGCAGATGTGACCTTGAGTCCAGACTTTCCCCCGCAGGGGTCCTGTGTGTGGGTGTGGGCAGGACATAGCCATCTGCCTGTGGCCATCCTGTCCCCCACAGCGCCCGGGCTTGCTGAGGAGGGGACAGACCGCTTCACTGCCGCTCCCGACACAGCTGCGGCCGTTACTTCTGCTGGTTCTCATTCAAGTTCATTCCCTGCCCAGCACAGAAGGCTGCGATGGGGCTCAGAGAGGCTCACTCGTCTCTCTGCCTGCCTAGTGGGGCTTGGACAAGAGGTCTGGGAAACCCCAGGCAGGAATTTGGGGTGTTGGTTCATGGGGAGTTTTCTTGGACTGCGAGAGAGGAGGAAAGTTTGATGTGATCACAACTTCCATGGCCCCCCAGAAGCCCCGACTTGTTCTATTTTCCTTTCCCACTTTACGCCATGGCCCCGCTTTCCCACACTCATCAGCCTCGCACGGATCCGTGCTGATCTGTCCAGTGTGTCTCCTGTCACTTGGCCTGGTTCTCGAAGTAGGGAGGGGGGAATTGTTCTCACTCCCCTTTTTAGGTTGTACGACTGAGGCTCCAGAGAGAGGAAGTGACCACTCAGATGTGTCCCATATATGAGCCTCGGGATCTGACTTCCTCTCTGGCATCTCCTCCCACAGACCTGCAGAAACTGTCCCAGGAGAATCACCCAGAGCAGCCCGGGCTTTCTGGGCAGGCAGCCTCAGCCCTGGGGTCCAACGGGCTGTGAGGTCAGGGGCTCTCTCAGGTGAGTGAAACCTGAGCTAGGATGACTCGTCTTTCCTCGGGCCCTAGGGAGACACACAGGCTGCTCAGAGCCACCTTCCAGCCTGGGCCCTGGTGGCTGCCGTGGCTGCCAGTAACTGACCCCCAGCGTATCCCAGAACTCAGCCAGGTTGTTCCCAAATGTGGGAGGGGGGAGTCTTTGAGTGCTCAGAAAAGTGGAGCAGTGGGGAGGGTGTTCCTTCAGGGTGGAGCTGGGGCCCTGAGCCATCAAGAAAGATGTGATGGGCTCAGAAAAACTTTCTGGAGAGCAAAGTGGTGAAAACACAGAATTGGGGTAGAAGCAACTTGGAGTGAGTCTTGTTAAGAGCTAATTGTGTGACATCAGCTTTATCATGGCAGTGACAGCAGTGGCACTCCTGGGGCTGTTGGAGAGTGTGAGCTCAGGTAATTAAGCATGTTCAGTACAGTGTTTGGGCTTTTGTGTGTGTGCCCGACCGTTATTTATTACAAGGAATTAAAACCAATATAAATGGCGTAAGGGCCAACCCAAACCAATGCAGAAACATGGACAGCAGCAGAGATAAGAGCACTGCTGTTTTTCTACCTAGCAATAAGACTCTGAGCTTCCCTGTGGCCAAGTCCAAAAGGGAAATGAGATCAGCCATAGATCTTGGATTATCAAAAAGCCCTGTTCCTTGGGGAAGCAATGCTACTCTTTACCATGAATTTCCAGGGTGTTTCTCACCCGGCAGGAGGCTTCATAAAAGACACCCAGAGGAAAGCAGTGGGCAGTATCACTGACCAAGAATCACATAGCATTGCAGTGTGGTTTTCATGGGAAAGCTGCTTATAGACCGCGTGGGGAGGAGGAAGGGAAATCAGAAAAGGTGATTCAAGGAAAGAGCCTCCACGGGAGGATCAGGAATGTGATGAGGATCCGGGCTCTCGGGATTCAGGGTTAGAGTTTAGAGTGCTCAGAGCAAGGCACTTGTTAACCTGTCAGGGAAACAGGAAATCTGAGTTTTTTTCACCTGGAGTCTTTGGAAGATTCTGGAGTCAGATACCCTAGCTGTGTGGCCTCAGGCAAGTGTCTTCACTTCTCTGGGCACATCTTCTTTTCTACAAACTGGAACTGTTCTTGGAGGATGGTATACAGTTACAGTTACACACTCTTTTTCACGAGGAAATTTATATTGTACAGTTGGCAAAGGGTTCGTCATTGCACACAGCGTTTCCAGTACCACGAAGGGGGGTATTCTGTAGCCCAGCCAAGGGATGAGGAGCCTGGGGCTTAGAGAAGCAACATCCTTACCCTCGTCCTTCTGGTCCTGTGCAGGAGCCCAGATCTGGGATGCAGGTGGGCAGGGATGGGTGGGCCCTCAGGCCTCCAGCTTGCCTTCTCCCCTCTGTGTAGGCAAAGGGAAGTTAACAGTAGAAGCCTGAGAAATCAATGACTGATAATAATAATAAACAATCGCTCCTGTTACAGGCCTTGCCCAAGCACAGCCTTATCTAAGGGAGTCTATATCCCTGCATTCAACCAACCATGGATTGAAAGTATCTGGGGGAAAATATTGCCTCTGTGCTGAACATGTACAGCCTTTGTTTTGTGATTTTTTTTTTTTTTGGTCCTTAAATGATATCGTGCAACAACTTTTTCCAAGGACTTACATTGCATCGGGGATATGAAGTCATCCAGAGATAATTTCAAGTGTGTAGGACAAGTGATCGGTGCCAACGTGTGCACGTATGGAGCTGTCACAGCCACTTCTATTAATTTCTGCAGTCGATGCATGTTAATAAAATATCTCCAAAAATTTTAAAAGGTCAAGTGCAGGTAATGTACCATTTTTGATAGGGGACTTACACAGTGGGGGATTAGGGGCCCCTGAAACCACTTGCACACGAAGGGATGATTGCACCTTGCATTTGATCTCCAGTCTTTGCAACCGTCTTATGGTGTAGGACCCGTTATTCATAGGTGAGGCAGTCGGGGTACAGTGAAGGTCACAGCCCCGCCAAGGTTAGCCGGAGTCCTGCAGACCCAGGATGAGGGGCTCAGCCAGGTCCGCCGATAGAAATGGGTTCTGGAAAGCAGATGCGCGTGGAGATAGAGCAGGGCCTGGCGGCCAAGCTGGGCCTGGGGCCCTCTCCTTCCTTTCTTCTGGGCTGCTGGAGGGATCAGTGCTCTACAGAGGAAATGACCTGCTGTTCCCAGTGCAGGGAGGTGGGAAGGGAGGAGTCAGAGTCACGCTGTGCGGGCCCTGCTCTGTCCTGGCGCACGGAGGAAATGACGCAGCCTCGGACCCGAGCTGCTTGCAGCCCTGCCAGGGCCCCAGACATGGCGTTAGGCACGCAGAGCAGGGTCTCTGCAGACCCCACTGTTGCGAATGAATCCGCCTGCACCCCGCCCCCACTGCCCATGACAGGGCCTGGGCCTGGGCCTGGGAGGCGCCTGGTGTGCGCTCCCTCTGCCCGCTGCTCTCCACTGCCGTTAAGTCACGCTTGTCCTTCACGGCTCTTCTCAGCCCCCCCCCCCGAAACCTCAAACTCACAGCCCCTTTCAGAGTGTCACCGTCCCTCTGTTTTGTACCTGGGCACTCCTGGTGGCAAGGGACCCTAGAAAAGCCACCTCCTCACCCCCTATGCCTGCAAAACCTGGCACAGGGAACGTGGACACGGTCACTTCGTCCTCTGGGACATACTGGGTGGTGGCCATCAGCGTGCACGGATCACAGTTTCGGAGGCAGTGGGGCATAATGGTTGAGCCCAGGTTCTACAGATCCGCTTCAAATCCCTGCTTCCCCACTCCCTGTCTGCGTGCTCAGCCGAGGGCCTCGGTCTCCCTGAGCCTCATGTTAGCCTCTCCTGAGGTCAAAGGGAGACTGTCTGGGCTGACTGCTCAGCCCAGTCCCGGGCACATGCCGGATCCCAGGACTGTTCTCTTCTACACCATTCAAGGCTCAGGCGCCTCTGGAAAACTCTTCGGGCCTCCTGGGTGCGATGACACCTCAGGGGCAAGGCTGAGCCCCTTGAGCTCAGGTTCCTTAATGGGATTTTCCAAGTGGTTTTATTTAATAAAAGAAAAAGGGGACCATCATGTAATGAAGCAGGTCTATAAAGAGCAGCAGTGAATTTAGGTGCAGGAAGCCGGGGTTATTTATAGGGAAGTGTCCACGGGCGGTTTGGAGCCTGTCTGGAGAGCTTGGTGGGGGGTCAAAGTGTCTGCACTCCTGTTGGTCAGAGCTCTGGTTTCAGATTTGCTAATCATCTGCGGCCCGGACTTATTCAGTGCGCGCATCCAGGTAAATGTTTCACGTTCCTGATACTTTAAGTTCTCTAAACACAATTTTTGGTTTTTTTGGTAAAGTGTGTTGGAGCAATGCCTGTAATCTCGCACACAGAGAAGCTGAGAAGGGAGGATTGCAGGTTGGAGTCCCACCTGGGCAGTTTAGCAACATTCTGTTTCCAAGTAAAAAGATAAAAAGGACTGGGGAGGGAGCTCAGGGGTTCAAGCGCCTAGTACGGAAAAAATATTTTGGTTGAGTAAAATTGACAAAAATCTTATATATTTAAGGTGTAAAACATCATGTTTTGAGGTATATTTTGTACTAGCACAAGTCAAAAATACGCTTAAACAAAATATGGTCAGCACCAGACAGGTTAAAACAGTTAAGTGAACACCATTCTGGACAATTTCTTGATATCCCTACATATTAATGCATTTTTGAAAAGAAAATACTGGCAGCGCCTTACATACTGTTTTCGTAACCTGCAGTCTCACTTAATGGGGTGAAGCAGACACCTTTGCCCTCAGTAAATCACGCCAGCGTCATGATCTCTTACTGATGTAATTAATAACTTTTTTCCAGCTTCTTGTCACCCTGCCTGATAACCCTCTCCTCCCTCTTATTCCCTTGCTCTTGTCTAATAACAGTACCCTTCCTCCTTTCACGTCAGCTCTTTCAGATTCCACATATTGGGGATACTTTTGTTACTTATCCTTCCTTCTGACTACAGTTTATTCCACTTAATATGATGACCTCCAGCTCCGTGCAGTTCCCTGCAGCTGTCAGAATTTCATGCTTCTTCACGGCCGAGTAATATGCCCACGACATGCAATAAATATGTGTAGATGTACCACATTTTCTTCATCCACTCCTCTGTTGATGGGCACCTAGGTGGTTCCATATCTTGGCCTGCTGTACGTTGTGCCGCAGTAAACATGGGTAGGCAAGTATCCCTATAATATGTTGACTTAAATTCTTTCAGGTATGTAACAGGGAGTCGCTGGATCGAATGGTATCTTTATTTTCAGGTTTCTGAGGAGCCTCCATACTGATTGTTTTCCTGGAATTTACATTCCCACCAGTAAGGTAGAAAGGTCTCCTCCCCCACCCCCATCCTTGCCAGAATTTATTGGTTTCTTTCTTTTTTCTTTTTTTTTTGGTACTGGCGATTGAACTCGGGTCCTTGCGCTTGCAAGGCAGGCCCGCGCTTGAACTCGGGTCCTTGCGCTTGCAAGGCAGGCCACCGAACCACTGAGCTAAATCCCCGGCCCCTTTATTGGTTTCTTTTAAAATTTTTTGTTTTGTTTTGTTTGTATTCTTGATAACAACCATTCTTACTGGGATGAGATGGAATCTCTGTAATTTTGTTTTACATCTCTCTAGTAGCTAAAGATGTTGAACTTTTTTTTCATATAGTTATTGGCCATTTATACATATACTTCTTCTTTTAAGAAGTGTCTTTTGCCCATCTATTGATTGGGCTACTTGATGTTTTAATGTCAAGTTTTTTGAATTCTTTATATAGCCTAGATATGACTCTTCTGTCAGAAGAGAAATTGGCCAAGACTTTCTCCCTTCACTCTGTTTCCCTTGCTGTGCAAAAACGTTTAAATTGGATGTAGACTCATTTGTTCATTTTTACTATTATTTTGGGCTACTGGAGTCCTATTCAGGAAGTTTTTGCCTGTACCTATGGCTTCAAGTGTTCCTTCTATATTTTCTTCTAGAAATTTCAGTGTTTCAGATATTATAACTAGGTCTTTGGGACATTTTGAATGGATTTTTATGCAGGGCAAGAGATAAGGATCTAGTTTCAATATTCTACGTATGGATATCCAGTTTTCTCAGGATCACTTGTTAAAGAGGCTATCTCTCCTCCAGTGTACATTTTTAACTCCTTTCTCCAGAGTCAGGTGGCTGTAGTTGTTTGTACTTGTTTCTGTGTCCTCTATTCTATTCCACTGGTCTACACATCTATTTTTGTGCCAGTACCATGCTGTTTTTCTCACCATAGTTTTGCAGTATAATTTGAAATCAGCTATTGTGTTACATCTGGGCTTGCTTTTATTGCTTTGGATTGATGTGGATATTCAGGGTCTTTTGTGTTTCGACATGCATTTTGGGATACTTTTTTCCTATGTCATTGATCTTTTGATGAGGATTGTATTGAATCTGTAGGTTGTTTTTGGTTAAATGGTCATTTGAATATTATTAAATCTGCCGAGGTCTTTCCATCTTCTACTGTCTTCTACAGTTTCTCTCTTCAGTGCTGTGAAATTTTATTGTGGAGATTTTTCACCTCCTTAGTGATTCCTGTGTATTTTTTTAATCAATTTTTTTGTTGTTGTTTTTTGTTTTTTGAGACAGGGTCTCACTATGTAGTTGAGACTGACCTGGAACTCACTGTGTAGCCCAGGCTGGTCTCAAACTCACAGGGATCCTCCTGCCTCAGCCTCCCGGGTGCTGGGATTACAGGAGTGCAACACCATGCCCAGCTGAGGCAATTTTTTTTTTTAAAAGAATTGCTTTCCTGATTTCTTTCTCAGCTAGTTCATTACTGATTTTTTAAAAAAACTGTTTTGCAGCTGTAGCTTTTCTCAGCACTTATTACAAGACCCCAGCAGTGCTTATTTTTTTTTCTCAATGTCCTGCTCTGCAGTTTCCTTGGCTCTCTTCGTCCAGATGCCAAAGAGCCAGGCATTGGCATGGGCCATTTGCAGACTGGCAATGGCCTTGAGGTTCTTCTCCTCCGTGAAGACCCTGGCATTCTCTTCCTTCTCCTGGGATGCCTTCAGTTCTTACATTCACTCTGCCAAGTAACTATTCTCATCTTAATGATAAGGAAACCAAGGATCAGAGCGGGGAGAAATCATGTGCCAAAAGCCACACAGCTGGGTGGTGGCTAGGGCTGGGTTTGAACCTTGCACATGATGACTGACTCAAAGACTTCCTAAGCCTCAGGGTGCCAGTTTGTTCTTCTATCCACTGAGAAAATGTCTGATAAGGTGTCAGGAGGCTCGAAGGCAGTGCTAGTCCAGCTGTCTGTGCAGGAGATACTCAGTGGCTGTCTTTGTGTCCATGTCTGCGCAGGACCACTGTGACAGCAGGGCCTGAGTCTCACTCATGGCACCCTCAGGGCACTGAATATACCCAGGGAGGACAGGGCTGTACTGGTGATTGACCAAGCCCCATGGCTGCCTGCTTGAGGGATACAGCAAAGGATAAAAGACAAGGGCAACTTTTCAGATTAACAAGGGACTGGGAGATCAATGCCTCATGCTAGGCAAGGTCAAAAGACTCTCTAATCTCGCCACTATTTACTGACTGCACATAAGCCATCAGAGGGGGTGGTGAGTGACTTAAGAAACAGCAAGGGTGGGTGCCACCGGCTAGTAAAAGAAGAACAAAGTGTTCTTGTAAGGATTGAATATAAATTAATAGGGAACCCGAGTCTTCCCCTAAAGTGGGACTTTAACTTTTATTGCATTCTTCTGAAGAGTCAGGTTCTCAGATATTATCTTGCCCTGTGAGCCTCGGGGCTTCATGGATCTTCCCTCTGCCAGAGCACTGCTGCTTTCTCTGAGTCTCAGTTTCCACATTTCTTATCACAAAAGCAATAACAGATGCCCAAAAGAGGCCCCAGGAAGATGAAAGAGCACAAAGGAATTAAAGTTCCTGGCATCCATGGGTTTTTGGGATCATCCCCTTTGGTCTTCTCTGTGACCAGCCCTGCCTGGCACTCTCTGGTCCTGCCCTGGTGCACATCGGCATGGATACTTCCATGCTCTCTCCTCTACATCTTCCCTGCACCCACCCCATCTTAGGTTTACTTAGGTGCTGGGGGAGAAAGTTGTGGGGATGAAGAGTCTGGCCAATGATCTAGGTCAAGCCAGTTGATCAACTTTTCAAGGGGTCTGCAACTTCCCAGCAGGGTGATCTTGGCTGATCACCCTCAGCCTCTCTGGAACTCTGCTTCTTCCTCAAGGAAATGGGAATAACCACAGTAGCTCCCATTTCTGTCTCTGTGTCCCTTCAGCCCTCTGGTTCTTAGAACTGGATTTACCTGATCCCCTTCTTTTCCTGCAGGTGTCGCCAGCTGTGCACCACAAGTGATTGGCCAAGGACCCACGTTTGAGTGCTCTGGGCACCACAGCAGTGAATGGTGAGAACTCTTGTGGTCAGAAGTCATGTCTGCAAAGGGTGACCAGAGACGGGGTAGGAGCAGCGGGGAGGGACACCAGCAGAGCTGACCCCTGGGCTTTGGAAGTATGGATTGGAACCCAGTTGGCAGCAACTCTCTCCCTCATTGCACTTAGCACTGTTGGAATCCTTCCAGTGTTTGAGGGATTTTTGGTGAATAATTGCCTCCCCAGCTGTACTGTAGGGAAACAGAGGGTCCCAAAGAGACAGAAGAGATGGTTGTCAAGAGGAGAGACTCTGATGTTTCCTGCCTTTTCCTAGATATATGACCTTGGACCACTGACTTCAGCTCTCTAGGCCTCAGTCACCTCATTCTAAAACTGGAGCTCATAACCTTCCTCACTGAGTAGTTGTGAGGACTGAGCAAGTCTGTATATGTCAAGTACTAAGAATAGTGCCTGCCATCTAGGAAGGGCTGGAGAGGTGTCTGCTAAATAAAATGGCAACACAGGAAGGGGCTAAATCGTCCTACCAGTTTTTGCCAGAGACAGTAAAGACAGGTTGGTTAACTTCTTCCCCTGCTGATCCCTGTCTTGCCTTACAGAAAATGGAGGATGGAGATTACAATGATTCTATCACCTATGATGAAAGTTACCTGGATGGTTTTGACTCCATCATGATCTTGAAGGAGTCCTCTCCCCTGGAAGCCAGGGTAGTCAGGATCTTCCTAGTGGTGATCTACAGCATCATCTGTTTCCTTGGGATCTTGGGCAATGGCCTGGTGATTGTCATTGTCACCTTCAAGATGAAGAAGACGGTGAACACGGTCTGGTTCCTCAATCTGGCTGTGGCAGATTTCCTGTTCAACGTCTTCTTGCCCATCTACATAGTCTACGCCGCCATGGACTACCACTGGGTGTTTGGGACAGCCATGTGCAAGATCAGCAACTTCCTGCTCATCCACAACATGTACACCAGTGTCTTCCTGCTGACCGTCATCAGCTTTGACCGCTGCATCTCTGTGCTCCTTCCTGTCTGGTCCCAGAACCACCGCAGCGTCCGCCTGGCCTACACTGCCTGCATGGTTATCTGGGTGCTGGCTTTCTTCTTGAGTTCCCCATCCCTCATCTTCCGGGACACAGCCCATCTGGATGGGAAAATATTCTGCTTCAACAACTTTAGCCTGTCCGCACCTGGGTCATTCTCCGGGCTGGCTCACTTCCATATGGACTCCGTGGGGCACAGCCGGCAGATGGGGGTGACTCTCACCCGCTTTCTCTGCGGTTTCCTGGTCCCTGTCTTCATCATCACAGCCTGCTACCTCACCATCGTCAGCAAGCTGCAGCGCAACCGCTTGGCCAAGAACAAGAAGCCCTTCAAGATTATTGTGACCATCATCGTCACCTTCTTCCTCTGCTGGTGCCCCTTCCACACGCTCTACCTCCTGGAGCTCTACCACACGGTCATACCTGGTGCTGTGTTCAGCCTGGGTTTGCCCCTCGCCACTGCCATCGCCATTGCCAACAGCTGCATGAACCCCATTCTGTACGTTTTCATGGGCCAGGACTTCAAGAAGTTAAAGGTGACCCTCTTCTCCCGCTTGGTCAATGCTCTGAGCGAGGACACTGGCCACTCCTCCTACCCTAGCCACAGGAGCTTTACCAAGATGTCCTCCATGAATGAGAAGTCCTCGGTGAACGAAAAGGAGACCAGCATGCTGTGAGTCTCCCCGAGGAGTCCCCAGTGGGCACTCCCAATGCAGGGCTGCCCCAGGACCCACCAAGCCCAGTGCATTTTCGAATGGGGAACCATATTTTGAACTGGGAATCCAGTACACGGAACCTCTTTCTCCATGTGGGATGGTGGACAGAGCCTATCACGTGGCTCATAACCTTGGACTTGAAATCTCTGCTTAATGGGAGACCAGCCTTTTCCGATTTGGGACCAGGAAGGAAGAACTCTCCAAGGCACTGCCATGAACTGGGTTCAGCATAAGGCTGTGGGATGAAGCCACGTACTGTGTACCCAGAAGTGCCACACTCTGTGAGGCCTCTAGTGTGAACAGGAGAGGTCAGAGCAAACCCAGTGTGATGCAGTTCACGCTTCACCCCTTGTACCTGGCTCAGTAGTCAGCCAGAAGACTCCACTCTTCCAGCCTTTCCTCTGGGCTTAAGGAGTGTGCAATATGTAGTCACCTGGGACAGGAGCATGGCCTCAGCCCACGAACTTTCAACACCACAAGCTTAATGTTCAGATGAATTGGGGAGATGGAGACCAGAGGGGCTATGCATGCTCTTTATAAATGCAAGACAAGGGGGGCCTGCAAATAGGACATGGGGCTTGGTTGGGGGTGGGTCAGGAATGGTAAAGGCAGAGGAAAGACCCCCCCCAAAAGGTCATGGACATGGAGCACCTCACCCCAGAACTTCGCAGAGCAACGGTGCTTTGGCCAAAGGTGCTATAGGGGTGTGGTGGTACCGTATCCTTGCCCCAGCTCTGCTCTCATCTGGTGAAGGTTGCCTGGGACAGCTTCACCAGGAGCCGACACCGGTCACAAGGTTTCCTCCTCCCTTCTCTGATCCACTCAGCTCTGGCTGGAGGTGCTCGGCCTAACACCTTCCCGGGGTGGGTGTGGCGGGGAGGGCTTCCACTTTTCTCCCGTCCCCTCCAAGCCTTGGTGGAGACTGGTCTAGAGCGTGGCTTTGGGAAGCAGACTGGGAGCTGGCCTGGAGGTGACCACAGCCCGGGATCCCACTGCTTCCACCGCGCTCCTGAGATAAGACACCAAGCATTCGTGTGTGGCCTGAGTCCCGGCTCTTCCTGTCCGAACCAGACACTTCCCGCTGCAGGGAATGACGTCATCTACTCACAAACAACAAGGCTGAGGTTCCGAGGCCGAAAGTAACTTCGCTCTCATCACGCACAGTGAATCAGTGGCAGAGCCTGTCTGGCTCCAGAGATTTCATTCCCTTATTAAGAACGTAATCTGTGGACCATAATGACCACCCACATTTATTTAGCACTTTCCATGTATTGTCTCGTTTATTCCTCACAGCAACTCTTAAATTAGGTACAATGATTATTTCCCTCTTACCTAGGAGGAGTCTGAAGCTCAGAGAGATTAAGTAACTCGCCCAAGGGCACCGAACTAGTCCCTGCCAGAGGCTGGGTGGGAACTTCAGTTTGCTTGGCTCAGATGAGGCTTCAGAGTCAGGAAGCAACTAGAGAGGTTGGAGTTGTAACTTTGACTATCGATTCTTCAGCAGATGGACGTGAACATCTTCGTGGCGTTTTAGAAGCTCTGCAAGTTGTTTTCAAACTGATCCAGCATATACAGAAAAGGCATTTGGCCTCTAGCTCCCTCGACACCCATCAACGTTACTTCGCCCCAGGGCTGCCATTCTCAGCACCCTCTGAGGCCTGCAGAAAAGTGGGGTGGGGTAGGCTTGGCGGGAGGCAGCCTCTGTGAGCCAGGGCTTTCTGGACCCTAAGTGTCCACATTCTGTTCTCTTCCCAGTCCCCTTGTTGCTAAGCCAGCTCCCTAACAGGATGCGAGGAACAGATGTAATGTCTACCTCTCGCTGGGCCAGTCGCCGAGCTGCAGGCTGTTTGCAATCACACTTCATTAAAGGACAGACTGTTCCTTCCTTGTTGGGGCTTGGTGCTTATGAGGAGGTGGCTCTGAGTGGACACAGGCTGAGGACTCGATTGCTTCAAGGAGTCTGCCCTTGCTCCACTGGACAGCAAAGATGGTCCAGTGTTCTGCCACGCCTTCCCTAGATTTCAGATGAAGCAACAGAAGTACAAGATAGCGCAACATTTGCCCCATCCCTGGTCGCAGGTCACAGGGTCATCGGTGACTTGGGGATGGTGAGGCTCCTTCTGGCTTCCTGGCAGACCAGGCCAGGCTGGGGAGCCAGGAATTCGTGTCATCATCGGAAAAGCTGATCAACAGGAGCACAGTTCAAGCCTGTTGTTTTCCTCCTCAGAGCCAAACCTCCCTCTTTCTGGCTGCTACACCAGTGTCCCTGTTCTGACTGCAGTTTACTGTCCAGTATTAAACGCAACCGTGACAACCCCCGTCAGTCTTGTCCCCTCTGTTCTTCCGAGCATCTCCGCGGGTCACATAAGTATGATCCCTGCAATGGGCAAAACGAGCTCCCCCACATCACTCCACAGGCAGGCAACGTGCTCAGGGCCTGGGCACCTTTTCACCGGGCCCAGGACCCAGCTACAGTGCCCAGTGTTGCTTCTGGTTGGGGTGGGTGGGCCAAAGGGGCATGGGAATGAGAGACAGGGACAAGAGGAGAAGATGGTCTTCAAGGACGGGTGCAGAGCAGAAAAGAAGCAGAGCCTGATGCAGAAGGAAAGGGACCTGCTGCCGTGTGTCAGGACAAACATCCCACCTGTGACTGACCCCATAGAAAGAGGACCACACAGAATATTGACGGAGGCTCGGGGAGGCAATGGCGCCTGTCCAAAGCCTCGTGGCCAGGTACTGAGGCAGCAGAAGAGGCCCAGGTGTTTCCAACTTCCTGTTCCCCACATTGTGGAATTCGGGGGAATCTGCACTTTGGGAAAATTCCCACGACTTACTTTTATTTTCCTGGCAATCAAGCATGCAGAAAACGTGGTGACTTACTCAAGATAACACAAGCCTCAGCAGGTAAGGGACTCAGCCAGGCCTCCAACTCCCAAGTCTTTGCTCAGGCAGCTCCAAGATCCACCCATTAAGCTACCAATACCCATCCTCCCATTCACCCTGACTTTGACCCACTCATCCACGTATCTCAATATCCTCCTACCCAACCACTCACCCCAACACCCACCCAACTCTCCACTCACCCCAAGAGCCACACCCTCCAGCACCCACCCAATCATCTACCCCAACACCCACCCAGCAACCTGACCACGCAACCGGTACATAACTGTCTGTGTCAGTGATAGGGAACCTTTCAGAGACCAGGTGCCAAACTGCAACCCAAAACTCACTTATTTATTGCAAAGTGCCAACACTGCAATTAAACGTGAATACCGACGTTTTAATTTGGAAAAAACAACTCATATATTAACACCTCTTGTCTTACAAACGCAATAACGTGTGTGCCATGGGTTTGCCACCGCGGATCTCTGTTTTCACCCATTCATCCATTGCATTCAAATATATCCGACACCTATTCTTTGCCAGGCACCGTGGTAGATGTGGAGGTCCCAGGGCTAAGACACATGCATAGTCTCTGTCCTTGCGATTGCCTCCACGGCTAGTGGGATGGACAGCTAAAAATTACACCTAGAAAGCAACCCATCCACTGCCTCCATGGAAAGCAGTCACAGTGAAGGGCCGCACTTATTGCAGAGGGACCTGGGCCTGTGCAGAGGTCAAGGGGACATCCTTGTGGCAGAGACACTTTGCTGCCGTGTGGAGGATGGGCAGGCATTGGTTTGGTGGGGAGTGGAGGAGCGTGGTGCTCTGCGTGGAGGGGCAGCCGATGCAGGTGTGAAGGAGCCGGGAGGAGCAAGGGCTCCAGGTGGCTGGCGGGGGTCTGGTGGCAGTGAGTGAGGAGGGTGATGGTAGCATCAGACAGTAGGGATGCCCATGCAGGGAGCCACAGTCAGGGCTGTGACGTGACCACGCCTGCATCCCAAATCAGTGGCCCTTGGATGCTCTGGGGAGGACCAACTGGAAGGGACAGATGAGGAGGCCAGGAGGCTGCTGCAGCCTTGCTGGGGCATCGTGGTCCCTGGACAGGACTGGTGGAGACAGAGCTCGAGAGAAGTAGGCTGTGGGGGAGATATTTAAGAGCTCCTCAAGCTTCCTCGAGGGAGCAGTTGGTGGGAAACCAACCCAGGGCCATTTCTGCTACACAGAGGTCTCATCGCACTGCTTTATTGACAGAAATTAATTGAAAATATTATTCAGATTTATCTCCCGATGCACAATTACATTTCTCAGGGGAGCCCTCTGAGTGCACAATAAAGCTGCATAAATAATACATACATTAATGTAAGAGGAGCAGAGGCACGTTCGTGCCCAAGTTGCAGGTGGTGGCTGGCAGAATTTATGCTGACAAGATTCCAAATGCTTGGAGTTGAGGTTGAACCTTGGGCACCACTTGAGTTCTGTCCTGGGAGAATTTCCAGAAGCACCTCCATGCTGGAGGAAGGGGCTGCCCCAGCACTCCAGTTAGCTGCTGGTCTACACATCTGTTAAGGAAGGGATCAGTAAGTGACACACAGAGAGGCAGCAGAGTGGAAGTAAAATAACAAATTTACTCATCAATGAGGGTCGATCGCGCATAAGCTGTGCCTGGATCCACGGCGCACTGGGTTAAAACTCCTCCTTTTATTGGGTTTCCCAACCTTGACTTCGTTTGGGTGGTCACATTTCATTCTCATGGTTCAAATCATAGTCACAAGGATAGTTAATCTTTTCAACCCAGACATAACAGTTCTTTGCCATTGGGGAGTTTACCTTGAAGATTCGCCTAGTTATCTGTTCCCGTCCATAGGGAAGGGGTGTTCAGGGTCGGGGGAGCGAATGTTGGCAGTGGTCCTTTTCATCTTCACACTTTGACGATCAGGTGGCTTCAGTCTCTCCTGAGCTGAAGACCTTGATGTGCCCTGTTCTGTCAGGGTAAGACCAAATGCCTCATCCAGTGATTAGTGCCTCTGGTGTCTTGTTAGTTCTGAGCTAAATAGACTACAGTTAGGGACAGCACAAGCCATTCCATATAATGACACTTCACAGGTTTTAGTTCTTTATAAAAGTTTTCCCTATCACACCTGGTTAACAGGCAGGTGGGGGTGAGGCGACGGCTGGTAAAGGAAGGCGCGGAGTTTACCTGTGCTGGGCGCTTTCACAGTGACAATGCCAGGTATGGCCTAGTGAGAAGAAGAAGTGAATGTCCATGGAGCACGTGCAAGCCCTGCAGCCCCCTGATCTCGGTGAAACTTCACAAGATCCTTTGCGGTACAGCATATTGCTCCCTCCAGAGACAGATGAAGAAGGTGAGGCTCAGAGCGGGGAGGTGACCTGCCCAGTGCCACACAGTCTGTAAGTGACACAGTTGGGATTTTAGCCACGTCTGTTTGTCTCCAAAATTCTTGCTGTTTCCTCGGCAACTTGCAGACAGAAATCAGTCCCTTGAGGAGACTCTTCCTGGAGGGAGGATGACAAGCTGTACTTTCTCTCCACTGTCATATCTTGAGGAGGAGGAGGAGGAGGAGGTGATGGAGGAGCATGAAGGATTGCCTTGTCCTTCATGGGGAGAAAATGGTATTGGATGGGCTGGTCCCTTCCTCACAGCCTTGGGGAGCTGAGGGTCTTGCTGTGTGGAAGAGACCTTACTCCATTAGTGCATGCCTTCTCATGTCCCTGTTTTGTTTGGGGACCATCTGCCTCACCAACTGCTGTGCAGTGAGAGTTGTATGAAATGCTTGCGTGAATTGTTGTTAGTGCTCCATCATCCTACAGCCCTGGGGACTCTCCAATCTGTCCTCTTCACTTTCCAGGGCTTTGGTGCTGTTCTGCCCCGAGAGCTTCTCCCAGGCTCTGGGCCACTGAAGAGTTTTCAGCAGAGTCCTACTGAAAGCGCAGCAGAAGGCAGAGTCTCAGAAAGGACTGAACTCTCCCAGGGGTTTAACCCAGCCCTGCCTCACCTCTTGTCCCAGCTCCAAGGCCCTTTCACGGTTCTGACACAGAAATGGAACAGAGTGGAACTTGAATCCCAGTTCCACTGTCTGCAGCAGCTGGGGATCCCAGGCCAGCTTGTTCAACACCCAGGAAGCCTCCCTCCCCTTCTTCATCTGTAGAATGAGTTTGATGAGTTTGCAGCTCAGAGCATTGCTGTGAAGATCAAATGCAAAGCCTCATGTCAGCATGTAGTCTTTGTCCATCAGCCCCCTCACCGGTCTGTCCACTTCCACCTCTGTTCTTACCCCTCAGTCTTCACTGTGCAGCAAAAGTAGCTTCCGTCACTGTACCAGTCAGCTTTCCACTGCTGGGACAAAATACCCAATATCTGTGACTTAAGAGTGAGAATGTTTATGAGGTGTGATCAAAACGTGTGGTGAATGTTTACATTTTAAAAAATTTGTCGCAGGAAAAGATAAATTGTCATTAATCACCCTTGCTTTAAACACACTTAGCTCGTTGTTCTTGCTGGTCTCAAAATCTTCTTTCGTAGTGTTTTTTCAAGGTGTGATAAAAATGTGGTGAGTGCTGCTGCCCAGTGCCATCCAGTGGAAAGGAAGGCTCGTAGGAACATCGCCATGAGTCCTCCTCCACCTCATTCACTGGATCTGGCAGCATGTGACTTCTGACTCTTCCCCGAAGTCAAAAGGACCATGAAAAGTAAACGTTTTTACTCAGGACCTCAAGGCAGCCACAACAGCACAACGAAAGACACTCACTCCAGAACTGCTTCAGAAGTGGCAAAAATGGTGAGATAAGTGTGTTGGAAGATCAGAGATATGTTGAGGGGGATTCATGGCAATGTGTCCTTTACTCTAATTCTGCTCTGTAAAATTTAGGCATGCACAGTATTTTTCAATCATGCCTTGCATTTCGGCTCACAGTTTCAGAAGCGTCGGTCCATGGCCGGGTGGTTCCACAGCAAAAACATCATGGCAGGAGGGCTGCTCATCTCATGGCAACCAGGAAGCAGAGAACAGGGGAAGAAGGCAGAGAGAAAGGGAGGAAGGAGCTGGGGACAGGATCTATCCTTCAAAAACGTACATCTCGGGGACTTACCTCCTCCCAGTGGGCCTCATTTCCTAACGGACCGCTGGCCCGCAAACTCATCCGTGAATTAATCCATGGATGAGGTCAGTGTCCTCCTCATCCAGTCACCCCTCTATGCCCCTCCTCTGAACATGGCTCCACTGGGGACCAAGCCCTGAGCACATGAATCTTTGGGAGAAGCTTCATATGTAATCCGTACAATCACAGAGCACAACAGCCCGATCCCGGTGGCTCACTGAACCCCACGGAACTGGCCCTACTTGTTCCCTCTCTGACTTCATCTCATGGTGTTCTCCGGCCAGGCAAGTCGGAAAGGATCGATCTCGAGGACAGACCAGACAAACGACACCCCGCTCTGGAGAGCACTCCCAGTTTAGGCCTTTGTGGTTGCGTCTGGCTCTACCCAAGCCCTTTGCCTCTGTTCTTTGCATGACGGCTTCCTCCACCTCT